CAAAGGATATTGTAATTCATCTATTGCCTTTTCTTTTCTTCAGTGTTAGGATCTGGACAGGAGGCCAGTTATTAAAGTATGTACCAAGATAACTACAGTATCCACAAATTGTGGCTTCTTGGCACTGAAAAGTTCCTAACCTTTTGGTTTTTGTTGCTTGGAACTAGCACGTTGTAAATAATATGACCCCTTCACAACAGTGAAGAATCAAGATATGTACACCTACACTGCAAGTGACATTGATAAATGCTTTGAATCAAATATTCAGAATTAAGGTAGTCCAAAACTTAATGAATCAGCAGTCTGTCCTGCCTTGATTTTCAGTTAGATTTTAATTAAATCATACTACTACACTATTTCATATACTTAAATTTAGTGATTAATTAAATGTGTCATTAAGGCATGATTATACTTAAATGCTCATTATATTTGAATAAAACTCTCCCAGCTTCTCACTGTCACAATTCTTTAGGCTTTTTTTTTTTTTTTTAGAACCATATTTCCCTTGCTTAGGGTTCAAACCATATTATTTCAGCACAAAATGGTACACCAGATCACCATATCATATAGTTCCCTAAGTATGTGTTAACTTTGTGTGAGTTCATCTTATGTAATTTGAGAGCTGTTCTTGTTATTTATAAGGAGCTCTTGTAGCACAGTGCCTAAGACATCTGACTGCTAACCAGAATGTTGGTGGTTCAAACCCACCAGCCACTCTGCAGAAGCAAGACTGGGCAATCTACTTCTGTAAAGATTTACTGCCTCAGAAATGCAAAGGGAATGACTATGAGTCTGAATCGACTAGATTTTTTTTTTTTTTTTTGGTTGTTAGTTATTGTTGATTCTTACTTAAGGCATCCCTAAATATTATAGAGTAGAATTGTTCCATTCAGCCTCTTTAGCTGTATTAGTGGACGTAGATTATTAGGCCTTTTTTTGCCATGGTATAACACTGGATATGTTCAAACCGCACAACCAACCTTTAGGTTAATAGTAAAACTCGAACTGTTTGCAAGACTTGGGGACCTTTGAGGGCAGAGGACTTAACTTGGTCTCAGTGTATACACAATCAATTGATTATACAGCTATGTCAATAATAATTTGTATAAGATTCATATCTGAGGATTTTGAGAGTTTAAAACATTAGATTTCCCAATATAGAACAAATTAAAAGGAATAATCAAAAATCTGTTCTAATATGAGTGAAGAAATATTCACTCAATGAATCAGTGTGTAATGTTTCTCCTTTGGGGTCTAAATTATCCAAATATTTATTGTCATATTTCTCTTTGTTTCGGTTATAGAAACACTGCCTCAGGGTTTCTACATAATCACAACTTCTTTTGAAAATAAACAAACAGTAAAATTGTGAGAAGATTTTTCAGTTGATTCTGTTTCATAATTTTCTTGCTTGTGAATTCCAGAGGAAAGCATATGAAACAATGTCAATGGCTATTTTTTTTCCTATTTTTAATACATACTTCTTAGACCTGCAGAATAAGCTCTTCGGTGAAACAAATGAAAACTACCAAACAAATTTGGAACCAATCCCATTTGGATCAGGTATTACATATTTAGGGAAAAAAATTAAAATATCTTTTCAGATACCGCTCTTGGAATTAAAAAAAAAAAAAAAAGTTTAATCCATAATGAATGATTTTAAAACAAAATACTTTATATGCAGTTAATTAATATATTTTAAGAATATGTTTTGAAAGTCATTAAAAGTAATTGGAAAGTCAAAAATTTTCACTTTTAGTTCTTAGTGTTAAGACTAAAAAGGTAATGAAGGAGTAGTGATGGGAGGCCCAATATTCTTGTTAGCCTAGTTTACAACTTTCCAAAGAATTTGATGAAAATATCTGTCTGTTTCAGAATCATTAAGCCCTACCCCTCTCTAATGGAGAGATTCATTTTCATTTAAAAAATATTATGACTTATTATTACTATGGTTTAATTTATTTGTTTTTAAGATTTTTCTGTAAGAAATATTTTTTTACATGGCATAAAGGAAAACATATTAAAGAAGACTGTGCTTTAGAAATATGAGCCATTGTTACATACATTTTAAAGTCCTTAGAAGTTTAAACCAGTTAAAGAAGCTAGGTTCAGGTTACAGGAAAAAATAGGGTTGTTGAATTTGCCTGTGATCACATGACATTTGAGGCAATGACATTTTGGTTTTGTCCTTTGACTCTGCTTCTCATAAGTCAAAGGCAATCAATGATGAAGTAGTAATATAACTTATGCATGCATGGTTTCTAGCCCATAAAAGTCACACAAATAATTTAGGTACTTCCCTTCCCAAATTTCTTCCTGATACAGCTGTTGAGGTGATTTAGTGAAATAATGTGTTTATGGGGTTAGAACATTGACAAGCTGGATTTATCAGGTACCCCGGGATCTTTTCAGATGGCCAATTTTCCATCTAGTCAAAAAGAGAATAGTAACTGAAAGTGACAGAAACAGAGTAGACATTACTCATGAATTAAATTATTACATTAAATAATTATTTAATTTAAATATAAATTAAACAGTTAAAATGATTGAGATGATTAAAGCCACTCAATAGATTTAGGCAACATTAATCAGTTTTAGGTGTGCCTCCTTTTCAGAGTGATCAGTTTAATATTTTCAGTCTCTAGGCTTTTATTTTAGATTTGAATTTTGAGCATATTTAATTTGCGATAATCACATGAACTTCAAATATTGTTTTCTCAAATTTTAAGTATAATTTTAGTACAAAAAAGTGAATTAAAATTTCTTCCTCATAGAAACATAACTTTAGAATGGAAGTAAATAAGAATACTGGATTCTATAGGCAAAAAACTAAAACAAAAACAATCAACCTTACATATATTCTATATAACAACATTCTAAAATTATCTTATTTCCCTAAAGGCAGCCAGTACTCTAATCAAAATCTCTTTTTAAACAATGTTTCCATAAACTTTTTTTCCTAAATAAATTTAACTCAGTCTTATGTTTTAAAAAAAGTAAAAATCAAGCCCTCAGAGTTGAGCACTGAGTAAACTGGGCCAAATTCTATAGTATCATGCCCCAAACTAGGCCTTGATGCAATTCTTATCACAGCTGCTCAAATATTTACATTTGTCTTCTTTAGCTTCCTACCACCATTATTTTTTCCCCATTTCTGGTTTTTTACAAGTCTATTTTTTCCCTTCTTCATACCAAACTGCAACTGGAAAATAGCTCACTCATTTCTCATTCTTATCATTTTTCTTTTAATATTCCAAGTAATAAACATTCCAATGGTCTACTCCTCTGCTATTTTCTCATTATAGCCTCTAAAAATGTTTCATGATATACAAATTGGCTGATTTTAAAAACTTCTATGATCTTATCAAATTCAGTAACACATTAATATTTTTCCATGTCATCATAATAAAAGATAACTCATATTTTAGAATTTCCTTTTGAGTAGCAGATATAGTCTATGTGTTGTTTTTATCTAGTTGTCATAACTTGCAAAAGTTAAGATCATCACATAGTAACAACCGATACTAGCACCCAAAGAAATTTACTAAAAAAAAATTATAATCTGGTTTGAACAACAGAATTAACTGTGCCATTACTCTTATTTATTTATTTTTCTATCATTACATAGCATTTGCCTGGGGGGAATTAAATAATTTAATAACTTGATGTGATTACCAGATGCCTTAGGGGAATGGACAAATTTTAACACAGCATGCTATCAGTAGCATTCATGTGGAGTAAAATAAGACTACCTCAATGGCAAATAAATTTTAAAAAAACCTTTCAGTGACTTCTAATCCCAGATTCCTCAATAAATCTTTTTTGTGCATATGTAAGTCACTTAATATTTTTAGTACACAATGTCTTCATCTGTGTGGTAGGCTGATTATGTCAAAATCTCCCCACTCCCCAACATAAACCAAGATGGCCATGTCCTAATTCCTAGAACCTATGAATGATACTTTACAGGGCAAAAGGGAATTTGCAGAAGTACTTAAGGATCTTGAGGTAGGGAGATTATCCTACTTTGTCCAGGTGGACCCTAAATGTTATCACATGTGTCCTTATAAGTAAAAGGCAGGAGGAAGGGAAGTGTGACAACAGAAGAGAAGGGGATGTGACCGCCACAGCATAGATTAGAAGGATGCAGCCAGAAGCCAAGGAATGCTAGCAATGTCTACAAGTGGAAAAGGCAAGAACTGAATTCTCCCTTGCAGTCTTCAGAAGAAATCAAACCTGTTTACACATCAGTTTTAGCTTCTTAAAACTCTTAAACTTCCCTTGGACTTCTGACCTCCAAAACTATACGAGGATGTGTTTATGTTGTTTTAAGCCACTAGATTGGTGGTAATTTGTTACAGCAGCAACAGGAAACTAATAAAAGTTGTAAAAAGGAGATTAAAAGACTTCTAAGATTTTTCTATTATTTGAGAAAATTGCTCTGCAGTATCAGCACTGTGGATTTTTATCCATTTTTATAGGCATAACTTAAGCAGAATCATTCCTTTTTGGAATAAGTTTGTTGGGTATTAGCCTGTCATCACCAGCAGGCAGCAAATACTGGTACAAACATTTTAGTTTCTTTTATCAAAGTTGAAGGAAGATATTATATTATTGATTTCTACGTTTGACTAGCCAATTCAATTAGAAATTCAAAACACAAAGATTTTGCAGAAATCAGCTGCCAAATTTATTAATCTACTTGAAACTAAAGCATAACCAAAGAAAAAGTAGAAAACAGAATCTGAAACAAAGTAAAACAAAATGAAACAAAAAACTTTAGAAACATTTTCCAAGAATTTCCGGGAGTTTATAAGGTATTGGAAAAATACTTAATATTGGCCAATTGCTACTTAGTTCAGTGAGTCACTACCTTAAACAGCAAAATATATAATATGTTTTTAAATATTATATTATTAATAACAGTTCTTCCTTTGATTCTTTAACATAATTCATGGACCAGTTGCTTCCCACTGGGAGACTGGAATTAAACATTTAAAAAAAAAAAGGAAGATTCCCCAATATAATTTTCATTTTAGACCCTGTTTTAATGACCACTTAAATTTTGTTCCTTCAACTTATCCAAATATCTCTATTTCTAATAAAACATTAGCTGAATATTTTAAAATCTGTTTTTAAGTGCTGTAATGGCCACATGAACTAGTGAAAGCGTAAACAAAAGTCCTGATTCTTAAGGCATAGTTACTATTATTAGCCCACAACGAGCCTGATGACATATGATATACAGTAGAACACTGAATCACATATGTTAAATACATATGTTGAAAATATAACAGGTTTAAGAGGATTAAATGTGAATAGAATGGTTGTGGTATGGGGGTGTTGCCAATAACTGGGATTAGAAAATTAAGTTGTGGTATTGGAAAACAGGTATATGAGGGGTCATCTTTAAACAATCTTTCCCATGCTTTTAGTGAAATGCTCTTACAGATTTATTTTGGTTTTGTGGTTAGAATTTTTTTTTTAACATTTTGTTATAGAATCTGAAATAAAAAAATTATTCCTCTGTAATACCCATAGACTAAACAAAATTCATGTTTCCGTCTTGAATCTTTTAACAGGCTATTTATCAATATAATTTCCTTAATGTTTTTCCAAAGTGAATGGAACCACATGCTCTGCTTTCAATATTTTCTCCAAAAGCAATTCAAAAACAAAACAAAAAACTTTGAAACTTTAAATCTTTAAATCTTCTTTCATACAATCCAATCACATTTACATGAATGTCAAAAACAAGATGATGGGTAGTATCAGTGCCAGCACTATGTCATACAGCAACGTCATCATATTCTTTGACAGTTTGTAAATAATTATCCATTTCACCAAAAGTTACAAAAGTTTCCAGTTTCCCTTAGCAAGCTGAAGCTTACTCTTCATTTGTCAGTGTGCATAAAAGCTGCTTATAGCATAGCATGGCATAAGCTATTTTGTAAGCAATAAATGGTTCGAGTCATCTATTTTGTCCTGAAATGCTATCTGTAGTTAACTGCATTGTTTATAAATGGTCATAGTAAATTCAGCATGAAAGAGAATATTACAGAAAAGACAGCAGCAGAAGCATTAGCATTATCTAATATTTATATATGTTATCAACATAACACAGCAGTAAAAGGTCTAAATGCATTATCAATGGGTACCATGTCTAAAAATTACTATAGTACCTATTTAGTGTATTGGATATTTTTCTTCAGGAGTGCTTGCTGTATCTACAACAGCATAATATGTGATTTAGTACAGTTAATTCTTACTGATTAAATAATGTATTTACGTACTGAAGGAAGTAAAAGGAGACAGGTCTTTTTTTTTTTTTTTTTTGCTTCATTGTAATCCCAGATTTTACATTTAAATGAGACCCCAAAGGACCATGACATGTCATTATTTAACTGAAATAGGCTTCACACTATTTAAAAGACAGTATGATTTGTATTTAAATGGCAAGGTGGCACCAGATACATGTAATGTTACTGGCCTGGGACTCAGTTTGGAGCCAGAGTCCAAAATTGTGCCCCTCATTTGCATTCCCGGTGATTACCAAACTTCAGAGAGAATTACCCATTGTATGGTTTTCCTCTGAGTGTCATCTATAAAGCAAAAGAAAACAAAACAGAAAAACGGCAAATGCAATCTCTAAATACCTTTTTACAAGAGGTGCAAAAACAGTCATTTTTAACAATTGAACTGTCATTTACAGTAGATGTTTCTCTTGTACACCTGCAATAATGGGAGGGGGGATGTCCACGGCATATCACTCGGTAAATAGTCTCCAAGTGGATATTTACACAATGTGAATTAACTATACCATAGATATCCAGAGAAAATGAACATTATCTTATGTTGTTATGAAATCAAACAGACATGATATATCTTCATTATACTTAAAACCTGTAGTATACCCCATCCCAAGCCTAAGTAAAAAGTAATCCCCAAACTCCCACCCATTAACCCATTATCTTCCTGTTACATAGAATAAATGTTTAGATTATTCCCACCCACCCTCAAATAAAGTGCGCAGTCCATGGCAGACCATAGAATAATGCAACAGGAAAAGCCCCCTTTTTTGTATTAATATTTAAAAATAAAATACAAACAACAAAAAAAATAAAACAGAGATTGAAGAGAATTCAGCGATTCTCTGCATCTTGCAAAGAGAGGAAAAGCGCAAGGACGCCCTGCTCGACTGTCACATGTGTTAATACACATAGCCTTCATTGTAGGGATGGGGATTGCAGCAGCCACCTTCTGGCATGTAGGCCATGCTCTCATCAAAGTGGGACAGAGGCACCGTGTCCTCTTCATTGATGTGACGCTCCATGTCTGTCTTGAGCAGAGGGCGCTGGTTATCTGGAAAGGCCATGGAGAAAAGGGCTTCTGGATCACACACAAATTTGTAGACATATCTCTCTCCAGCCACCTGATGATAACATGGAAGAGATAAAAATTCATCCTCACCATCCCAAGATGGTGAAGGACAGGGAAGGAAAAAAACAAAAACATGGTTAATACACCAGAGAGGTTGGGTGACACAAGGAAAAAGAAAAGCAATAAATTTTTAACCAAACCAAACTGACTGCCATCGAGTTGATTCTGACACAGAGTGACCCCCATCAGGTTTCCTAGGCTGGTGGGTTTGAACCCTCAACCTTCTGGTTAGCAGTCAAATGCCTTAGGCACTGGGCCACCAGAGCTCCTTAAATTATTAACAGATATAAATAAAAGCGAAAAAAAAAAAGCCTCGTTATGTAAAATGAACTGCTGCTCAATAGAGGAAAATGCAAAAAGAACAGTACAAAGAAATATTATTTTATATTGACCTTGGACAATAATTTCATTCATTCCAGATACAGCTAAAAAGCTCAGCAGTTGGTTTTAATATAAAAGGAAACTGTATACATTGTTATTTAAGGAAAAAATCAATAATTTAATGCAGGCATCTCACTTTGAAATGTTTTCTTTTCTATTCTTAAACTGAAGTGTACATTTAAGGTTGTAGTGTTTCTTGCTTAGTACTACATTCTGAAATTACAGGAAAAAGTAAGCTTCCAAACTCTAAAAGAAAAGTGTAGTTTATTCCAAATAAGACTAGCCTGGTGATTCACAGGGTGAGCTGGTGGGTGTTTTTGTTGTTTTGTGCTGTGTGTGTTCAGTTAAAAAAAAAAATAAAAAAGATACATAGCCTTATTTAAATGAAAGATGAATCAAGAGGGTAGCATTATCCTGCGTACATCACTTTTAAAAATGAAGGCAAGATGCATTAGACAGAAGTTAAGGATGTATGTAAAGTGTCAAATTGAAGCAAGAGGTGTAAGAAAGTGAAAGGAATTTAAAATATACAATGCATCAGGAGGAAATGAGAAAAAGAAATGTGACAACTGCCTGAAGTAAAGGAGAAGTAGCATAATTTGTAAGGAATGACATAACCCAAACTTAAATTTTGAAGAGTAATGACTCTCTACGAAAGTTTAAACAGAGTGAGACAAACATGTGCAGGGTTAGTAGACAATCTGGGGTTCTCAAACACCCAGAGGTTGGGGTGGACAAATACAGTTCTTTGTATTAACTTGACAGTAACTTTTTTTGTGTGTAGAGATCAGTAATTGCTTGTTATGAGCCGTTGAGTCTGACCCGACTCATAGTGACCCCTCCTTGGGTTTCTGAGGCAGTATCACTACGAAAGTAGATTGCCCCATCTTCCTTCTGAGGAGTGGCTGGTGGGTTTGAACAGCCGGCCTTCTGGTTAGCAGTCAAGTGCTTTAGGCACTATGCTACCAGAGCTCCTATCAGTAATTGCAGAACAGTGAAAATTACTCTACACCTCTCTGTCTCTGTGCATCAAAAAGGCATGCAGTTGATTTGTTTGATGTCAGGGGCAAATCACGTTCACCGCTTATAAACAATCCGTACATGTTTGGAAAAAAGAACAACAACCAAAGAATACTGCTGCTCTGAAGATTCAGATTTACATGGTATTTTTGATCTGGATTTAATTAAGAGGAATCATTGTAGAGACACCAAAAACTCTGAATATTCCTAGGTTAGAAAACAATTAACACTTAGTTTTCATGAACTTAGACTTATTTTTTAAACCACCTCTTAGTTCCTTTCTTTGTAATTTGGAAACACTGTTGTCAGATTCATAGGGAAGTTTGCAGTGCAATGCATGGCAAACAGAGGAGTATGACACAGCTTTATTTAATTTAGTCCTTTATACAAAAGAAATTAAGTTCTTAAAGGTGAAATGACCATGAAAGTAAAATTAGGCAATACTGAAAACAAAGCTGAGACAACATCCAAGTTTCTCTTTCTTCTCCTTTGTTGAAAGCATTTTGAGAAAAAAATAAAATAAATGGCCCTCATACCACTGAGGATTTTATAACCTGCTTTGTTTCATTTGGAGCTGTGGAGAAAGAGGCATGTACTTTAGGCTACTAAAGTTTTTGTCCGACCTATACCTATTGGCTATAAATAGAAATGCTCTGATAAATGAACAACTTTTCATTGTGGTAATTTGAAATGTATAACATGAAATCAAGATTATGAAAGTTTTAAAAGAGCATTGGTGGTGTAGTGGTCAGTGTTGCTGACCACAAGATTAAGGGGCGCAAACCCATCAGCTGCTCAGTGGAGAAAGAAAGATGCGCAGTCTGCTTCTGTAAAGATTTGTTGTGTTGTTATTTGCCATCGAGTCGGCCCGACTCATAGCGACCCCTCCTTTACCTTTGGAAATCCTGTGGGGCAACTCTACTCCTTCCTATAGGGTTTCTATGAGTTGGAATTGACTCGATGCCAACAAGTTTGGGTTTGATTTTGGTTTATATTAGCTAATAATTTGGCACAAATAGTTTCTATGGCAGTTACAGCCTAATAAGGAAAAACTAGAGCAGCAACAACACTTTAATTTGCATTTTAGTACCTATGCCATTTTTGAGACATTAATAAGATAAAATGATTATTTAATAGCATTTTGGGAGCTCTGGTGGTGTAGTGCCTAAGGCATCTAACTGCTAACCAGAAGGCTGGCAGTTCAAACCCACCAGCCACTTCTCTAAAGGAAGATGGGGCAATCTACTTCTGTAGTGATACTGCCTCAGAAACCCAAGGAGAGGTCGCCGTTATGAGTCAAAATTGACTGGACAGCATATTACAGCAACAACAATAGCATTTTACATAATTAATGTCTCAGAAAGACATGGAAGTGACACTGGTAATAAGCATACGCTTCAGTACATTTGGACACTTTTAAAATGAACATGATAACTTGGATATACTCTGTCAAGTCCCACGTCTAAAAGCTGAGGTGTAATTAGAGATCTTATAATAATAAGATTTTTCCCCCTTTTTATGTATGTATATATTTATAACTTTTTATTGTGATTTAAGTGACTATAGAACAATTTTTTTTCCCCACTGAACAATTCACACACATTTTGTTTTGTGATATTGATTGCAATTTCCAAAATGTAACATCATCTACCCTATTCCCTACCTGTGTTTCCAGTTTCCATTCATCCTTCTTTCCTACTCCTTCCTGCTTTGAGCTTTATCCCTGGACAAATGCCGCCCTTTTGATCTCATAAAGTTGACTGTGCTAAGGAGTGCGTATCTCTCTGGTGTTATTGTTCACCTGGCTATTGTTTGGCTGAAAGTTGAGCCATTGGAGTGAGTTTAGTTCCAGGCTTGAAGGGTGTTTAAGGGCCATAGTCTTGAGGGTTCCACCAGACTTAACAGACCAGTAAGCCTGGTCTTTTTATTTTAAAATAATTCTTATCAATTAGTGAATGGAACTTTAACCTGCAGCTCTACTATTCAAACTTCATTCATTGTACTTTCATACATGTTTTGAAAATACCATACATATGAAAGCAGTGGTTTGCATGGAGATTTAATTTTGTTCTCTAGGAAACAGGGTATGAGATGCATTAAGAACCCCCATTTACTGAAGACTTTTGTTGTGCCAGGTACAAAGCAAAGCATATCAAGTACACTATTTCAATTAATAGTCACAACAACTTTATAAGGTAAAAAATATCACCATTTAGCAGTAGAAAAGTATGTTTAGAAGAGTGATCAAGTGAAAAGCTAGCATTCAAGACTAAATCAAGATGGCATTATCATTTAATACTAGGAAACAATGCACAAGATAATTATTGAAAAACTATTATGATAACCCAGGTGATACTCTCCTGAATTAGGAAGTTGCTGGTGAAAATAGAAGGAATGGGATGTATTTGAAAGAATGTGGGTATAGTGAGATGAGAGAAAGGGAGGAATTAAAAATGACCTCAGGGTTGAGATGAAGAAGATAGGAGGAGACGGTAGTAGAGAGTTAAACATTTTGAAGCTGAGATTCGGGGAAGAAGAAGGAAACATCTGGCATAACAAATTCCAAAGCACTGATACCCAAGGTCTAGGAAACTTAAAGGTGTTGTCTCCCTCTGTTCTATTATACTTCATGGAGAAACCAGTATAGTTTCTGGTAGCATAACCAAGGTAACATAAAAATTTTAAAAACTGCTACATTGTAATGCATAACTATACTTATATCTACCAAAATCAACCAAAGATGCATAATAAAACCATAATGTTCACAATTAGTAAATAATAAACTTGGTTCTTACTCAAGGAAATCAGATTTGACTATATAAGCAAGGCTAAGAAATTTAGTAACATATATATATATATATATATATATATATAGATCAGAAAAAAAATTAGTAGATAATTGGCTTTTTGGAATCTATAAACAAAAGTGTTTCAATATAGAATTGTGGAGAATGTAATAGAATGTTTATTATTATTTCTGGAGTGATATAGATGAAACTTTAGTACTGAAACAACCTTTTTACTATATGCAGAAAAGTAGGGATTCAGAAGCCTATTATTTTGCATATATTATTATTATACATTTATCTACCATGGCCATGTATTCATAAATAGAAAAGCTTGTGAAACCAAAACCAAGAGGTAAGCATTTGCTAAAATGAGTGAAAACCTTGCTTCAGCAATGCAATGCTATGTGACTTTTAAAGTATGACATGCAGATTAATGTGCAACATTTCAATGAAATTCAATGCTGTATTAGCTCCTCACCTTTTGCATGATTCCCTTCTCATAATAATAGCGGAGTGAACGGCTAAGTTTATCATAGTTCATAGCTGGCCTATTTTTCTGAATGCCCCATCGCCGGGCCACCTGTCAGCAAAACAGAAGTATATTGTAACATTAGGTGTTAGATTATAAACATAGTTCATCAAATTAATTAATTACTTCTAAACAGTCTGAAACATATCCATTTAAAAACACAAGAAAAGAAGCAAATGCTATCATGATCTGAATTTCTTTTGCCTTGGTTTGCTTTTTAAAATCAGGGATGCAGTGATCACTCTGAAATATCACAATAGAATTCTTTGTCTAGTATTGTTTTGGACACAAAATTAAATGGAAATAAGAGAATGTGTTTACAACAGGAATGAACAGTCTGTGATTCATCAGGATTAGGAAAGTTTTCTGTTCTGATTGAGATACAGTGTCTGTTTTCTTCTTCCCAGTTTTCCATGTGAAACTATAGATCAAGTGCAGCTTAGTGATTCTGTTTGTAAAGATGTTTTAGTGAGGTTATGATAAACCAAAGAGAAAGAGATCGTGTTCAACACTATATAAAATGGTGAACAAGTGACACATTGTGGGTAGCAGAGGAAACAGTATACAAATTAATAAACTGAACTGCAAATAATTTTTATTGCCTGAAGCAGCATCAGAATAAAACTGTAGCCAGTACTAAATTGGGGAATTAGGCATTCATTTAGAGAATGGTAATTAGATAGTAAAAATAAGAAGGAAGTGGAAAAGGTCACCATGTATATGAGTCTACAAACAAAAACTATAAAGTAGAATGCCCACTTTGTTTAGTGAACAAATTCAGAGCTTTTATTATACGGCTTTAGAGCAGCAATTTTTCTGGAAGAAAAAGTTCTTCAACAGAGCATTAAGAAAACTGACCTAATTTCATACATCCATTTCTAAAATAAAAATACCTCAGGTTATCTCTACCTCACCATCACCATGAACTACCTGATCCGTTACACAGAACAATGTAGTCTGCATTTGCTATCCTAGTGAGAGTCACATTCTCATTAATTTCCATTTTGTATTAATCTAAGCAAAAACTACAACTACCATGCAAATCTGGGCAGTCTCCAGAGAGCATTATCTAATAGGGTTAGTGTGTTCATTCATTTCCACAAAATTTCTAGTTGTTATGTTAAAAACACAGAAAGAGAATGCATTTCAGAGAGATCATTCTCTCTCTTCACTGCATTAATCATAATCAGTTTCCAAGTTTTTTTGTACCTTTTAAAAATACTCTTCCTTATTATTTTTCTCTCACTAATTTGTATTCCCTGAATGAAGATACAATGTAATTTATTAATATGCATCAGTGTACTTTTGAGTAGTGAGATGTGATGTTAACAGGAACAAGGTTATATACCCAAGCAGACAGTCAAAGTGGCAGGTACATCCTAATTTTCAAAAGACAAACCACATTTTAATGTAAATGTTCTGAGCAATAGTGAAATAGGAGGGTGACAAAAAGACATGAAAGCAATATTTTTTAAGTAAAATGTCTTTACAAATCTAACAGTGGACACCAGTGAATCTTTAATAGACACAGCATCTGAGCAGCATGTGAACCTGGAGGGGATGTTAAAATAAATTATTAAAACCTCCTTAAATTAAACAATTTCTGAATATTTATTCATTTACAAATGATTCTTTTCTAGAAGCTCACTAGGATGCATCTAGAAAATATAAGACTTGCAAGGAACTTGAAGGCAACATTATGGAAGTCTCTAGGGAGGGAAAGAAGATCTTTTTTATTAATACCATGAATAGTTTGACTCTGATGAACCTCTTAATTCTTGGCACTGTGGATATAAATAGTCATTTTATAATGATGAAACTATTCTTGGGGTTGTTTCAGTGTCTGCATAAAGTTGGGGGCAAAAGGATCTACTATCATAATGCTTACTAGATGTAGACAAGAGTGAACCTTAAAATAAACAAATGAGATCAGTAATTCCCAGGTTAGGCAGATCACAAATTAACTAGGAAAGTCCATTCAGCCCTCTCATATGACCTGGCAATCACCACTATACCCAACAGCACTAAAAGCAAAGAGAATTCTCAACACAGAATAGGAAAGATGGTAACATTTCCAGTGACTTCCTAACAATACTCCTTTCAAATGAAAACAGGCTATTAGTCATAAGATTGAAAGATAATGGCACTGTGTCATTCATCTATATTAGCAAATGAATAGGAACACATACTGGGTCAAGGATCATTCAACTTATTTTTAAAAATTCCTACTGAACATGCAACAGTGAACCTTGAAACCACCATTTAAGATCTCTTGGAGAGCTTCTTGGAAACTCTTCCAGCTTAACAAGCTCCTATCTGCTATACTGACTCCTATCCACTTCTGTAAAGATTATGGCCTTGGAAACCCCATGGGGCAACTCTACTTTATCCTATAGGGTCACTATGAGTCAGAATCGACTTGATGGCAGTAGGTTTTGGTTATAGAACCATTACTATGTTGATAACTGTTCCCTAGAACAATACCCTAATATCTATGATTAATTCCAAAGTAATATGCCCTTATCTCTAATGTCCTCCCCCCAAAAAGGGAGATATTAAAGATTATGTGTCTGCTAGAGGAATCCAAACACCCCAGGCAGTCTCAGAGTCTCATTCAATATTCTAAACTCTAAGAAGTGGTTCAAAGAAAGGGAACCAATGAGTAATTCCAACAGAAGGATGGCATCAGAGGCATCTTTCATGGATTGTGCTGACAAAGAACATCTGAAAAACTGTTCTGTAGTAGAAGAGAGAGAGACTGTGGGCCACATAAAAAACAAACTCACGGCCATTGAGTCAGATCAGACTCATAGCGACCTCACCTTGGGTTTCTGAGACAGTACAGACTAAAGAAATTTCACAAAAACTTTCTAAGAAAGAAATGCAAACAAAATAGCAGTCATTGCCTGATGAAAAAAATTGCAACAGTGAGCAATGCAGTGATGAGAAATGGGATATTTCAGTTTGAATAGAGGCATTAGGAGGCATTTAGTGCTTATTGCATAATTCCCATTGAGTTAGTTACTATTTGGAAATGGCCTACTGACTCTGAATTACCAGGCCCTTTTTTACTTTATGAGTCGGCTATAGAAAAGTTGTCTAAATGCCAATTTGTTGTATGGAACAGATGTAACTGTATTTTTTCCCTGCATTTGCAAATCACAGAAATTCGGAATTGGAAGAGACTTAATGGTCATCTGGTCAAGTCACTTATTCTACTTATTCGCATTTTATTAATATAAAAGTAAACAGGAGCTATATAAAGAACTATAAATAAACACTTGCAGAAAAATCTGCTCTTCTGAGTGGATCACAAATTATTGACATAATTCATAAATTCCTCTAACTGTACATAAATAGGGCAATTTTAAAAAATGTTTTTGCTCCATTTATTTTCATTACAGGTGGAAGAAAATAACTGTTTAACAGATAGAAATTCCTATTGAATTGGTTCTAGCATGAACCAATTCTTGTTGTGATTATTACCTTTCATGAAGTGAAGAGCATACATTCCCATCACATTAAGGGCTTTCAAATTACTTTTATGTTAAGTGTTTGCAGTCTCATTTGTTAATGCTTCACATTTTTGCAGTTCTTTCCCTTACATCATTTAAGTATATCTACATAAAAACTAATTTCCTTTGACAGCCAAATTAAGCTTTAGACACACTACAAAATTCAAGCACAGAAACATTTAGCCCACACTAGGTAACAGATCCCTTCAAATTCTGATATTGAGCCATGTGTATGTGTGTATTTAGTGAGGGGCTAGGGGATGTTGCAAAGCTAAGCCTCTAGTGCTACCAGAGTATTGATAAACCCGGAGGAGATACTAATTGGGCTAATCAGCTCCTCTTATTTCATACTTCCCTTAATACATACTCACTCAAAGAAACTCTCTGCCACTGAGTGGATTCTATATTGGGTTTCCAAGGCTGTAAATCTTTACAGAAGCAGACCAACCCATTGCTCTGCTGTGGAGCTGCTTGTTGGTTCGAACCACCAACCTTTTTGTTAGCAGCCAAATGCCTTAACCACTACAGCACCAGAGCCCTTTAATACATACTAGCATCAAATTATTCCTTAAATCTTACTAAGTAATGAAGCCTTAACTTCCAAACACCAAATCAGGGCATATAACTGATATACGGTTGAACACATTGTTTAATAAAAGAGAAAATCCATGACGTATGACCCAGTAGCCTAGGCTGTATTTGTCCAATCTATATGTGGCTAATCATTCTGAGATCAAAAACAGCTGGATAACTTACTGCATTTTTTTACCTTAAGAGATATTTAGATCTTATAGCCAATATGGTTTAATGACAGGCATGTTAGTTAAATATCTTCCATTGCTTTCTAGGTTAATGTTATAGTGAAGTTAATTTTAACAATAGTGTAGAAGGTATATTTAATAGGACACAAAAGATTATAAGTAACAAAGACTGTCACTTTCTAAGTAAATCTAAGATGCTATACTATAGGTTACTGGATTATGCTACAGTAACAACAGCAGCCTTAAGACTAAAGCTAATCCTGGAAGAGAAATTGAGGTAAGAAATTCTTCATGGAACTACTCTATTTGTGTGTGTGTGTGTTCCATCTGTCCATATTATCTCTATTTATCAGGAGTCCTCTCATTTAGATATTGTCTCATGTACTATGGCAACACTGTAAACTTCATACCTACCTTCCAACAGAGTGTACTCAGCCCAGCTGACTTGAAACAGATGTCACTAACAATCAAAGGGAAACAATATTTCTACCAGTCTTGTGGCCTCTAAGAGACACTTAAGGACTGAGAATTTTCCATTATACTTCTTGCATGTCATTGTTACCCACAGCTGTTCCTCTCCCACCTCCTTTTGCACATGACTTTTGGTGCCTAAATGTTCCTCTCCAGTCCTCTTGATAAAATCCAGATTGTCCAAATGGCTGCTCATTCACAAAAACAATTCTTCCATTCCTGAAACTAGCTGAACTTTAGCAGACTTTCCCCCCATTGCCCAAACCCCATAAAGCATGTAGCCCTCCTTTCCCAACTTGGATGGTTCACTGGAGTCTTCTCAAGGGAAGCCCAACATTCTTGAATAAACACTTTATGTTAATGATGCCCTGGCTGATTTTCCCCCCATATCAATTTTGCAGCATATTATTCAGCTGGACCAAGCAGACAACACTTGATCATTTGTGATTTTAAATGTAGATATGTTTGAGTTTTATTTATTTTTTTATCAGCAAGTTTCCTTAACGTTTATAAAGAAAAATAAATACATTTTAGCCATAGTAATCAAATATATCAGTTCCTTTATTTTATAACCTATCTGATTTTCCTAATTAGAATTTATTAAACCAACCTCTTCAGGCTCAATCAGTTTAAATTCCATGCCTCGACCAGTCCAGGCAATGAAGTGGGAATTTGAAGGATCATCCAGAAGGGCTACCAAAAACTGCCAGAGCTGAAGTGATCCCCGTCGCTGGTATGTGGGTCCTTCCCGATACATTCCTGGCTCTTGTTTGATGTCCCCTAAATTAAAATTTTTGAAGTTTCTATTAGTAACAAAATCATCCATTTACATAAAATTTACATTAACTCAATCACTAAAATGTTAAACCACAACCATTTTAAGGGTTTCTGTTATCATTAGATATTTAAAATAGTTAAAAGTTTGAAGGTAAACCAAACATCTGTATAAACTTACAGACAAGTATATGTAATATATACAAGTTTATGGAAGTATCTGCAAGTATAGAATAAATACATAGGTGTCATTTACTTATAAAATCTTGTATAATTTTTTTCCATTGATTTTTTAAAAATTCATGGTATCTAATTGTGCTTTTAAAATTTTATGGTTAGTGCTTTCTCATCATTGTAAGCAACACTGAAGAGGGGATAGTCAATTTTAAGCTCTGGACATTTTATTTGTACAAATTAAATTACGCAAACTAGAATTTGTAAACTGTTCATTGACTTGCACATTACACACGATTGAAAATTTTAATGCAAATACTTCAAGGTAAATTTAATAGCATCTAAAACTGAGTTAAATGTCCTGCTCTTCATGTAAATTAGGAAAATCTCTGGGGTAGTTGTACAGAGCACAGTTCTACTGCGACACTCATGTGATCACAATGAATCAGAATTAACTTGATGGAGAAAAAAACACAACAAACCACTGTTGTGGATTTTTTTGGAGGCAGGACTTACCATCTTACACCTTTCCATAATAGGGCTATCACTTTCTCTCAGCTGGCAGCAAATGAAAATTCTGTTTTGTTTTCATTTTTCTCTTATATTTTATTGAATTCAACTTGGTGTTATTTTTCTTAAAAGTTCAATCTAAAAATCTATATTTTTCAGTAAGAAAGATTTGCATAACATTTAATTCAGTATTTCAATTATTTTGGTTTTACCAAAACATGCTCAGTTCCATGGCTACCTCTATCTCTCGCCAATCATCTCAAAAATATGGGGAACTTGATATACTGAAGGAGCTCTGGTAGCCTAGTGCCTAAGGCATCTGACTGCTAACCAGAAGGCTGGTGGTTCAAACCCACCAGCCACTCCTGGGAAGGAAGATTGGGTGATCTACTTCTGTAGTGGTACTGCCTCAAAAACCCAAGGAGGGGTCGCTGTGAGTCAGATCCGACTCCATGGCAGTGAGTTTGGTTTGGTTTTGATACACTGAGGATTGACTTGTAGGGCCCTACAAATATATCTTTGTTGATGCACAAACTTCTCTTTTCTACTGAAGAAACAATTTAGACAGCATACTTTCAAGAAAATCTGTATATACTAAGTGTGAATTATAAAATGGACTAAAATCATATGCTTTTAAAAACTTTCTTTTGATCAGTAAAGAGAATTACATCTCTTAAAATATTACAAAAAAGAATAAGTCTTTAAAACCCTAAACAAAAATAGAGAAGTATTCAATCAATAGCAGCTAAAAATCATTACATAGTTTTAGTCTCTTCATATTGATTTCAATTTTTTATTTATCACTGATTTTCCTTCAGAGATTCACTTTTTCTTTCTTTCTTTTTTTTTTTAAATGGGCATAACTGAGCAATTATATAAGTAATGTGAAACACTGTGGAATTTTATAGTCTCTATATTGGTTTTGCCTATAAATTTGACTAATCATACTGGCCATGCACAATGAAAAGCTAACGCCCTCACTTGTCTTTTTTCTTGTTCTTTATTCCTTAGAAAGTGTGAGACATGTACTATCTTCCAAAAAATGTTTTCTTCCTACAAAATGGAAGACTATTTAAAAGCAAAATGACTAAGTAATCAAGACAGCTTCCCTATACATTAGGTAGCGTTGACCATTTAGATTTCAACCTTATCCTGTCTATTGTTTGAAGGTGTTCCTTTTACTTACATGCCCTTTCTAATTTCCAAGATTCCTTAACATATGAAAGCTTACTAATAAAAGAAACTGATGAAGGTCATTCCAAGAGGTAGAGAGCCTTTAAGCTTTGCCTCAAGAGAAAAGGCTGTATTTTAAGAATTGTGATGCTCTGCTAATGGTGTTAAATAGCACAGTTCACACCTCTGAAACCCGAAGCTTAAAACTAGCGTCTATTGTAGCACAAGGCTGAAAAAGTGACCGCTGTTGGGTTTTTAACCCTGCAACCTAGAATACAGTTAGGAATTTCAAGGGAGGCAAAAGAAGCAGATCTTCCGGAGACTTACCATCTCTTCTGAGAAGTGTGAGAACAGCAGAATCCTTGGGAACATAGGGTAGTTTTCAAGCAACTAATTAGGGATTAAAAAGCAGTCCATGCAAGTGCTTTGCTGTTTAAATAATGGCAATTAAAACTTCTGAGAGCTCCCAAGTCATTATAGCCATGATCCCCAAAGTTTGTGCAATCAGCTAATCAGAGGGCCCCTGCTCGTTTCCTGTTAAACAATCAAAACAGGAAATACAGAGACCACTCTGAGGAACCACTAAATCAATTAACTATTCACTTTGTACCCCAGCTTCCTCATAGATGCAGACATCTTCCACTCTTGCCAGGAAAAGAAGGTTCTACCTAACTTGAGACCCCTTTCTAACATCTGGGACCTTTTCATTGTCACAGTAAGCAGTACTAAAAGGTAATGCTTTCCTTAATCCCCTTTTAAGCAATTACAAAGTAATGTTACATTAGCAATGTACATCTTCCCAGAAAGGGAGGAATAAAAGAGGGACTGAAAAACAATAACTAAATGGGCAGCTATGTTGTTCTTGTGTTCTGTAATACATCTTTTTGTGAACAATAAAAGCGAGAAGCCTGCATTAGTCATCAGTGCATCCACAGTAGCATGCTTTCTTCTCTGCTTTGTTAATTACAGGATCAGTTTTCAATAAATCTCGAATAACATGATGTGCTCATCAGGGCAATGGAAAGCCTGCTTTCATTCTACAGAAACCTCAGCAAGAAGGATGCTGTTTGGAAATGTATCTCCAAGAATGGATCTTGTACAAGGCAAAGGAAAAAAAAAAGCTTCTTAATGGGCAGAGGAAAAAGAGAATTTGTAAGAGGTAAAGGTTAGCTAAAAATGAGTGCATGCTAAATGATGTGAGTAGAAGCTTTTAAGTAGAAATGTCACCTGTTTTCAGGACAGGCACAAGTGGTCTCTCCATTCCCTTTTACAAAAAAGCAAAACGTGAAGCACAATGCAAAACCTACCGTCAAATTTCTCTGGGACAACGCAGGTGTCATCATAAAATTGCCTGGGGCCCTTTTCAAACATACAACCTGTAAGGAGAAAATGGGACACATTTATTCATGATCCAAATGAAGCTCCCAAACAATTTAAAATAGAACCTTAGCACAAAAATAGTGGCAGAAAATGACTACCAACTTCTTAGCTCAGTGACCCTGGACATGTTATTTCACCTCTCTGTGTCTCAGTTTAATCATCTATAAAATGGAGAAGATCATAATAGTATCAACCTCATAGATCTTCTGTGAGAATAAATGCAAGTTTAAGATGGTGCCCAACGTACAGTGATATATGACCTATCTATTCACAGTTATGTTATTAACCCTAACACAGAGCTCATTTAAACTCTGGTAAACCTAGGATTCAAAGTATAACATCTCCATTTCTAGTTTCTTCCAAATTTATTTTTCAAGAAGAAGATAAGGAAATCAATGTGAATTATAGAGATTAACCTTTCATTATTACCCTGATGACCTGAAACTCATTTGTCTTACACCCTCATTTCCTTATAGAAATATTTACCCAGGCAAATGCTCTCGTGTTTTCATCTTCAGAAGCCAAGATGATAGTGCAAATAAAAAATATTTTTAAAAAACTTTCCTTTTTCCTTTGACATAATTAGCTCCACAGAAAAATACAAAATTTAAGAGTTTTTCACAATCATTTTTTCATCCAATTTCCTTGATTTAGGACCTTAATCTAATTGCTATTATCTTTCATCAACAGGAAGCAATTTCATATAGCTAAGTCAGTTTTATTTCTCAAATGTATTGGTCTCTATGATGGGTATACATTTATTAACAACAGCAAAAACAATGAATGCAATGCATTTGTATAGACTTTTACTTTCAAGTATTTGGGTTTACCATCTCATTATTCAAACTGAACTAAATCCATTGCCATGGAGTCAGTGTTGCTGTGTTGACTCACAGCAATCCTATAGGACAGAGTAGAACTGTCCTATAGGATTTTCAAGACTGAAATCTTTACAGAAGCAGACTGCCACATCTTTCTCCCGTGGAGTGGTTGGTGAGTTTGAACCACTGACCTTCTGGTTAGTAGCTGAGGGCTTAACCTCTTTGCCACCAAAGCTCCTTTATCTCATTGTACTATCCTTTAAATATAGGGATTTATTTTTATTAACATCATTTATACAAAATATTCAAAATTAACTTAGGAGGATTCATCAAATTCAGTCTTACTCAAAAGATGTAGTGTTTAGGTCAAGAACTGTGCATATATTTCCAGAAATCCTTTAATGGGGATTCTACACAGATGAAATCATTCTCATCCATTCCTTTATAGGTATCAAATTCCATTAAAGAAAAGCTTTCCCTCCTTGGTTACCACAAACACATCCACAATAAAAACTCCTTCTCTAGGCCTCTTATATGAAATTCCAGTCCTAAGAATTACTTATACAAAAATGTAAAATCCAGGATCTTTAAAGATGAGCTCACTTATTCATTTTTACTCTGTTTTAATTCAAAACTGTGACTTAGGTCTGTAGGATAAACTGATTATTCCTTGAAAATACATTTCAGTAGAGTACAGAAAGGTGGAGTAATCTATAAAGCGTATGTTCTACTTTAAAAGGATGTGGTTATTGGCAAGAAAGAACACAGAAATACACTTTTCAGCTGTTTATGAGAGTATGACTCATGTTAACAACCAAATACAAGGTATCATGACATGAAAAATCTTCCTTTTACTTTAAAAAGATAAAGTTTTAAAATAATGGTTTGGGGAACATAATGATTTTTCCCATAGATTATTAGGATTAATTAAGTGACCTCATTCTTGTGGTATTGATTATTTTGAAAGGTATTTACAAGGAATTTAAATCATAGAAAACTTAACTTCTGTTCTGCTAGGATGAGCCAGAAAACCTTCTTGCCGCATATAAATGGAGTGGCAGCTAGGCACTTCTGAAAAAGGAAACAACATTGGTCAAAGAGGAATATGGAGCTGAAAATGTGCTGTTATCACAGATAGGAACATAACAGAAACTGACACAAGTCCCCAAGAGGCAGACCTGTCAACACATAGTTAACATTTCAAGCATGGCCCACACAATAAATGAAAGAAAGTATACCAGGGTGAACGCAGATTCTCTTGAATAGGTACATGAATTCAAAGTTTTATCCAAGTCAACCTTGCTAAAGGTCAGCTCTAATGGCAACCTCACATGAGTGTGATTGTGCCTATCATGATTTGTTATTGTGCTTCGCGATAATTGCAGAACAAATGTGTATATCCTATGGCATTCTATCTAAAAAGAAATAATCAACTAAAGATTCATTCACAGTTTATTTCATGAATGGAAGGCAGAGATTGCTATAAAAAGTAAAGAAAAATATAGCTAAATCTCTTAAAATTGCTCCAGCCTCCTTTAGGTAACTGCTTTTTTTTTTAGCCCCTACCCTTACTCCCACACATACACCCCAGATAAAAGCATGACAGGCTTTTTGTTTTGTGAAGCATACAGATCATATTCAAAACCAATATGTTACAAAATGGAAATCCAACAATTTCACACACTCTCTTATCACCTTATGAGTAAAACCTTGCGTATGTGACCCAGTTAGCCCATCACTGAGAAAATAAATTCAATTAGTGGTTAAACTTGAGTCACAGTGATGGCTGTGCATTTAATGCAGATAAGTGTTACTAATAACTTAGATATGGGAAAGAAGAAAAATAAAATTGATTAAAAGACAAAATGTGAAAATTCAAGTCCTTGATTTACTTCTCATTAAGCTGCATCACTTTGGGAAAGCATTTTGTGCTTATGTTTCTATGAAATAAAGGGTTTGGGTTGGATGTTCTTCAAAGACTACTACAGTCCCCAGATTCCTTGATTGTGAATACAAAGGTCCACTCATGCAATCAGAAGGGTGTTCATGGTGAAGACAATTAGCTTAAACTTCAGGGCCCTCCAGTTGCATGGGTCCCTTCTGAGGCCTGTATCTAATTTTATATTTGCGTGTTCATCTTCTTTTTAAGATGATTCCCTAAATTTTATAAATTTCAGGATGCACATAAATGCCCAATCCTGCATATAACATACACAGGTTGTATCTGAATTTGTAAATATATGTTAGTCAATTCTACATGTAAATGTATTACTAATGTTTTTAAACATCATATATAAAAATAAATTTATGAAATGCCTATGACAAATATGTTATTTAATACAAAAGCATGCCCTCCTTTTTATCTCTTTCAATTGACCTCTGAACAAAAAAGAAATTTAAATAAATTTCTTTATCTGTAAATTTCTTGCTGTGATAGACAATTAGCATTGTTTATTCAGCACAGATAAACTTTTTGATTGTTCTAGAATTTTCCCTTTTAAAAGTCTGGATTTTCTTTTTTTCCTAATTCATCTGGTGATGAATGTCAACCAAAACAGGAATCATTTAACAGAACTTACAATGTACACATACAGCAGAATGAAGAATTTCCTAACTTTCATTTGTCATTTAAACCTACTTTGCCACTTTGATTTTTTCAGTTCTCACAATTATCAAAGTGAAACCTTCACCGAAAAGAAATTTTATCTTGTGTGGCTTTATTTAAAAAAAAAAAAAAATCTTAACAACAAATCATGATATCAACAACATTTAAAAGTATGTTGGAATCACTAGTTTAGTAGTTGAAAATACTGTTAAGTTCCCTTACCAAACATTTTATTATCCCATGCCCTCCCTAAATAGAGGGTTGTGTAGTATATGATTCCAATACTACAAAAGGTACAGTGAAACTATTTTGTGATATTGACATTATAACAGGGTTGTGATGTAGCTGATTTTTGGTTACCTAATAGCTAGCAATTCACTTAATCAGAACTTTTTGGCCACTGGTACTTGAAGCTCTTTTTTAATGCTATTTTGATTTATTGCCAGGCATAAGGTCTGTTAAAGCAGCTGGGCTTGGAAGGGACAGTGTTAATGACTCTGCCACCAGGTCAGCAGCTGCTTGGAGGCAAGCATTTTGTTGTACCAGTGTTGACACCTTGCCACAAAATACTTTTACTGACTGCTACACAGCTGGAGTGCGGCTGGAAAAACAGCTGGCTGGCTCTGGAGGCAGCTAGAGGAAAACACACATGCTAAACTCTATTATATAAAAGTGTGACTAAATGTAAGTCTTTCCTCCCCAGGGGCTGAAGAATGGGGAGAAGGAGGGAAAGAGGGAATGCAAACATTTCTGAGAAACCCACTATCCACAATTAAAGAAACACTATCTAAAAATTTTCTAACAAATATAAAAAACAAGCAAAATCTCAGAAAACTAGACATTTGACATGAAAGATTGATCCTTTTGATTGATGATTCCACCAATATTCGTGATCTACTGAGATGGCTGATTTGTTATTTATTGCTGTATTTTATAATATTCTTCAGTCTATTAATCTATAATGTTTAAAATATTCAGATTTAAAACTCATCATAAGTTAATGCCGTATACTGAGAATGAAAAGCAGAATTTCCATTAGGTTTCCAAAGGCCTAACTTGTCATCTAAGTTCTAAAAAAATTACTTAATGGCAAGTTAGGGAAAAAAAAAAAAAAAAGACATATGAGAATATAATTGTGTTCTTGGCAATTTCTAATACTTTTTATTATACCCTAGAGTAAATAAAACTAACATCTAGCTCTTGAAATTGAGACACATTGGCTAGCATTGTCTAAATTCAGTCTGTCTTTAAGATTGGCTTTCTTTATATGGTCCATAGAAGCCTGAAAAAATATGGCTAAGGGGAGTTTATTCCCATAAAGTAACTAAAGTCATGTTATTCTAAAGTGATATCAGTTAATTTATGATGATCAGAGTGGGTCAGACTCTAATCAAATTGTAGAAACATTTCCAAAGTGATTATTCAATCAAATGACTAACATGGTTAATTAGGAGTCATAAACATTGCTCTGAAGTTCATCAAAGTAATGACTTGCCCAGAAAAATTACTGCTAATTAAATTGCCTGCTGCTTTCATTTCTACCTTATCTAATAACAAATCCAACCAATGA